GGCAGCCAGCCGTGCTGACGCTGCGCCAGATCCAGCAGAGGGATCACGGCCGCCTTCTTGTGCCCCACAGGGTAGATGCTCATGATGGCCTCAGCACGCTGTCATAATAAACATGATGATATATATAACTTTTTACATCAATACATCATGCTATCATTATGAACATGATGATAAATATGACTTATTACATCAAGACGCCACGGGGTAGATGCTCATGATGGCCTCGGCACGCTGTCACAATAAACATGACTATAAATATGACTTATTACATCAAGACGCCACAGGGTAGATGCTCATGATGGCCTCAGCACGCTGTCATAATAAACATGATGATAAATATGACTTATTTTCATTATAGTTTGAATTTTATTCTGCAAAAAGGGGGGGGTGGCGGGGGAAAATCGAAAAATTTCCAAACATTTTGGAAAAATGCCCCGCACTTCTACAAAAATTAGAATTTCAAAAAAAGGGGATGGACATTTTGTAGATGAAGACCTCACGCATCGAATGATATGTGTCTCGATGTTTTAGCTTAGAAATCCTAGGACTAGATCCATTTCTACAGTACCCCCTTTTATAGCCGTTTTCTAAGAATTTCACGTTTTCTTTCATTTTTTTCGAAAAATGCACACGAACAAAATGCGAGTTTTTTCTATTTTACATATGTGTACCAAGTTTCAGAGTGATCCGACTATAAATAGCCGAGATAATTTTTAGGGTAGACGCTCCCCTTAAATGTGGAGCTAACTCGTGGATAGCTAGTTGATGTAGCAGTAGAACCTATTTTCAAATACATGTAACTGGAAACCTCTTTGCATGTTCAAACAATTTTTTGTGTAGCAAATAAAATTAACTGATTTTTTAGTAGGCATTTCTTTGGAATAAATGCCTTAAGCCTAAGCTAGTTTTACATTCCTATGCAATACGTAGTCATAAAAAAATATACATACCATTGCATTGTCAGACCTAATTCTGATATAGAAATCATAATAAAAATTGCATAACTAATCCTAAGGAAATAATTTAAAAATAACTTCCTGTCATACACAAAAAAAATTCAGCTCATATTAGTCTTTAGCAGCATTGGTTTTTTCCTTTATTTTAGTCTTATTATCAAATAGCTACTCATACCATGATAAATGTGCTTACTTTGCAAGTGATGAAGATCACTAATAGGCTGTTGAGAAGCTCACCTTCATATTTTCAGGAGTGAATTCAAACTTAGTATCAGGGTTGTTCTCAGGAGTGTCCCGATGCTGAAAAATTGGAAAATTTTTTATTCAATTGAGTCTTTCAAGTGAGACCTTAACAGAACCTTATTCAAAAAGATTTTTGAACATAGAAATGCAGAATTTGAAGTCATGCTAGGATAAAGATTTAATGTCAATATTGCTGTATAGGTAGATTGTTATATTATACATAGACCTGTCCTGCAATAACTACAATTGAGCATGTAACTATTGGACTATTAATCATATAGTATATAGGTAATGGAGTATGGAAAGAGCATTTCAGGAACAATTTCTGAAATAGAATCCTTTCTTCAGATGGAATTCAGAATCTCCAACGCACATGTGACTTTCAGTCTGATTGGAATGAATTTAAATTGAAATGGAACTTATTAAAAATGGCTTTCATAGAGCATGTGTGAGCATTGAGAATTGCTGTTAATAATTTTATTTCAAATAGGTTAAGTTTACAGGTACGAGTATAAAAACATACATTAAATTAACCTAATAGCTACATGGATATATTCTAATTACGTATTCACAAAGTTCATTGTAATAGTTGGTCAACAGTCTTCATTAATCCATTTTTTTACAATTATGACAAAAAATTATTTTGGAACATCAGTGGCTGTCACTTACCACACTGAGGGTGTCACTTGATCGAACTGTGCTGGTGCTCAGAGCTCTTAGGCAGTTCTGAGGCTTTATCTGCAACATACTTGACATTAAAAAATGTAGTATGAACTCTACAAACATTTTAAACTGAGGAATATTTTCAACTTAATTATTCAATTGATTTTTGTGACATTTTATCTATCAGCTTGTATGTTTTTATTATTTAAATGAATAGCAGTATATATACAAATATATAATATATTTAAATGATCTATTAATATGTAGGTATTTCAATGATACCTACATACAGCCAAATTGATTGATGGTTGCAAAATATAAGAAATACTTACAGCAGTTCCTAAAACCTTTGAGTAGCGCATCAACGAGCTTAGTGTCCTCATGATTGAATCAATAAATAAAATTAAGATGGAGAAATCAAGTCTGCAGAGAAATAATGAATGTACCATAATTTATACAAAGCATAGATTATGATAGATACAAATTTCAGTTATAGATTACCCATATATAAGCAGTAGATATAAAAATCCGCAGAAAAGATAGAATGCAAACCAAAATCAATCCAGTAACAGACTAGGCCTACCAGTCATAACTCATAAGATTGTTTTTCATCCTGCAATTTCAGATGACAGCACTCTGAGTCTGACTCTCTGATCAGAAATAGGCAATAGCTCAATAGCATTGTAGCAATAGGCCCTAGGGTAATTTAGCACTGATAATTTTATTTAATTTTCCCAAATTTACTCATGAGTCATGCATGAGTAGGTTAGAGAAACTGCAAGTTTTTTCAAGAAATTAAATCCTGAGGAGCAAATTAAATGACTGTCGAATCTTGAATTGCTATGCAGGATCTAGGCTAGATCCTGCATACTTCTAGGTAGGTATCTGAATAATCTGACTTTCGTCACAATTCTGGTGTTCACAAAAAGTTAAGACTCTTCTGCTAGATCCAACTCCAAAAGATCTTGATATAGTCCTACCTAATAAGTAATAGCTAATTGCCAATTGGTCAGTACTCTGTACTCAGTCGCCACTCGTACTCGTCAAGGTTACAAAACTGATTTACACTAGGGGTAACCATTTTCTTTATTTCACTTAAAATTTCAAAAAAGTTGACCATCGAATATATTAATGTCGTTTGCAACGTTAACTTTTTGTCACCCTGATTTAAATTGATTTCGACTGGAAATAAGAGCTACGGGCGGCAAACTAGCTCGCGAAAACGCGCTGCACTCGAAAATGTAGATTATTGTAGAGCTCATAAATATAATATTGGAATTTGGACTACCATTATATCTAACCAACCCAAATGATCTCGTACAAAATCACTACAAATCACAAAAATATGTAAATAAATGAAATCGTAAAACAACTATGGCTACTGTCACTCTGTCAGTACTGTACTACTGTGATCTGACTGTGACTGTGAGTACCAATAAGAGTAATTCTTAACAAAATCCCGAGCAATCTCTCTCCGGCAAGTTAAATAAGGACAGGCTATTAGAGGCAAATGAGAATAGGCTATTAGAGGCAAATAAGGACAGGCTATTAGAGGCAAATGAGAATAGGCTATTAGAGGTTTTTGAAGCAGACTAAGGTCGGTTATTGAAGCCGGTAAGAATGTGTAAGAGCTGTGTTTATTTCAGAGAGCTATGGCCGACGATGGCGTGAGTGAAGAGCCCTAGAAGTTTTCATTTTAGATACTAGACGTAATTCATGAGAATTGCAAAATGACTGTACAAAACGAACTAAAGAAATGCATCCGAATAAAAATGTAAAAAAATGGGGCTTACAAATAATTTTATATTGCGGTCATAAAGATACCGTTTCAGCAGAATGGAAATGAAATGATCATTTCCATTCATATTATTCCTCACCTCTTTGATGAAGTAGTTGCTACAATTGGACCGTCTTATTTAATTTTTTTGGACCGCTACAATTGGACCAAAAGCATAATGAAACGTCATTTGAAGATCGTATCTATGGTAGTAACATATCGAGTAAAAAAATAATCTGCCAAAAGGAGTTACTTCCTTATTTGCTTGTTCGTAAGACGATTCCTTATGGGGAAGAATACGTTGAAATCTACGATCGGCAAGACTACTGCATTACTAATTAAATTTGTAAAGATTGCTGATTAAATTAAAGTAAAACCCTAGGGGTACAATGAAGCAAAGTAAAGAGTCGGTAAAGAGCAACTAGAGCGTTTGCATTCTCACCTTGAAACCGGGGCCTGTGGGAGGGGTCGTGAGGGACGTGAGGCCACCCTTGGGCTCAGCCGCGTACCGTCCCGAGCGTGGTCCCGCCTTAGGGGCCTCGCCCCTCTTCAGGGCGCTCAGGATCTGCTTAGTGTCGGCGACCGTGAGATCCTCCTGGCGGTGGTAGCGAATCATTAATAAAATATATTATGATTGTATCCAGTCATTGAAATTAAAATTAGGCAAGGTATGTCAATTACCCAAGTGGCAAGAACCAATTGCCTGTTGAAGCTGAGGGGAGCGGTACAGCGAGGTCAGAGACTGCTACGACCGCAACGGATATTGAAGACTCACATAATAATCATCGTTGACTTGTATCATGGGCGCGTTGATATCACCACTCACATAACAATCATTGTTGACTTGTATCATAGGCACGTTTACATCACCACTTGCATAATAATCATCGTTGACATCACCACTCACATAATAATCATCATTGACATCATCACTCACATAATAATCATCGTTGACATCACCACTCACATAATAATAATTTCAATAACCTTTAATGCTTTGAGAGGAATTGTCTTTGAGAAGACTAATTGTCTTGATTGCACAGTTTCAACACAATGATTTAAAAATTTTATGTGTGGTGTACTGGTGTTACCCCAATCTTGACATTACAGGCACATCGTCTGCTGCTAGCTGCCTGCAGTGACTACTTCCGAGCAATGTTCACTGATGAGATGTTGGAGCGACAGCAAGAGAACATTGTGCTGCATGGTGTCTCTGCTGTGGGTCTGGAGTCTGCTCTTGAATATATATATTCTGGTGAGATTACCCTTGCATAGACAAAAAAATTTAAATGTTTTATGCTGGTAGGTACTAATAATCATACCAATTCCACTGTACATTTACTAATGTATCTGTCAAATTTTAATAATGGAAATTGATAATGAAAAATTTGACCTTGCATAAATACTGTTGCTGAAAATAACTCGCCAAATATGGTTAGTTTATGTGGTAAAATTATATGATAATATGGTATGTTCATTTCATGAAAGTTATGAAAAACTATGTGACTCTGATGTTATCCTATATTATCAAGTTTCTGATATCATTGAGAGAGATATTAGTGCCTCGGTGATTAGAGAAAGTAAAATTGTGATTAGAGAAAGTGTTGGGAGTGATGTTGGAAATGTCTGTACAATAGGCAGATGATAGGTGATTGGCAGTTACATAATAGTAATACACAGCATGGACCACATGTGCAAATAGAGGGCTACTTTGGGCGTAGACTCAATTTAGCATGTATGCCCACTTGGTCTGCTTCTTTTATATACTGAACATTGTTTACTCATTGATGTTCCAAATTCATTTCTGATACCTGCTAATCATTTCAAGCACTGCTACTGCAGGCATCTTTAAATATCATAGAACAGTGCTATCTGCTAATAACAGTTGAATACGTTTTGTGAGAAGTGCGATCTTCTTCTTGTCTGAGGTCTAATGTTTTACATGTTGTTGTAGGCCTTTCTCCACTTGTCTCAGCTTCATTGCTCCACATTTTATCTGATCTTTATTGCTCTACGTTTTTTCAGACTTCTAATGGTCCACCTGTTGTCAGAGATTTAGTGCTCTACGTGTTGTCAGTGGTCTAATTCTCTGTGGCCTACAGGATCTCTCAGCCTAGAGCCATCCACAGTTCAGGACGTCTTGGATGCGGCCTCTCACCTACAGCTGCCAGCTGTGCAGCAAGCCTGTGCTCGCTACCTACAGGTGGATTCTTGGTAGCAAACATTCCTATTTATGATTGTTTATTTGGTGTAGTAAAGTATAAATTCAAAACGTTTGAAAATAAATTAATAACTATGTGTGTTGAACCACAGACAATATAATTCACAGTTTCCCGTTATTTAGACGTGTATGTTCTTTGATGGATATTTAAGAAACAGAATAATTATCATGCCTATTTCTGTTTGACCTTAAGGCTGGTAGTCAGAGTACAGCAAAGTCTGAGATCAGGGTTTTCGCCATTGAGGTTTTCCTTGATCTGTCCGAAGCTCAGCTAGTCGCTACCCTCAAGCTTGTAGTCTTTGTAATATGATCCTAGCAAGCCCCTTTTTTGTGACAACTGGCGGATTTTTGGTTGCCGAGGAATGGCTAGTGGTCGGCTATAACTAATTGGACTAGGCCGACCGCTGGCCATGTATTATTCCTCACCCCTCATTGGGCGGCAGTCACCATGCTGCCCGTCATGAACTGACAGCTCAGTAATTTACAATGTTTCTTTCCCCTCATACCTTCCACAACACCTGCATTTGAGCAGTTAGTATGCGGGATTCTCCCTCCACGTATTAGCATGCTCGATCATAACTATTTTTTGGTAGATAATATCTACAACAAGGAGGCTGATCAAGGAATGCCGAGTATACAATTCAAGTTCAATTTAACAACCCGTTTAAACCTCGAAAAAGTGTAAAAGTTGCAGACTTGATGAACAATTATATTCAAAGTTTCTTGAAATTTCCTTTCATTATAACTCTTTTATAATGAACATACAACAATGACATATTGACAAAAACATATAACATATTTTTTGTTCCTGGTCACCGTTTCTAAGTAAATAATTGGGTAAGCATGGAAAAATCCACATTGCCATCTCATTTACGAGTGGAATAAAGTGCAGCCTAATTAGTGAAGAAACTCATGGAGAAGAGCCGAGCCTGTTCGAAGCTTCGCGGTTCTCAATCAGAGCCTTAAGGTCACTGAACTTTCAACTGGAATTTATTCTTCCACTAAAAATGAATCAAAACGAAGTGAAAACAAGTCAAGTTTCCTTCTTAATTGCCCCATTGATCGCAATTTTTATTACTTTTTATGTATACTGAGGCATTGGATTATCAATTGTTTAACTGAATGATTTTGTGAGGCCACAATTTTACCTGTGCAAGAATTTATGATAGAATAATCTTGTTATGATATTTTATCAGCCTTGAGTCAAGAATTATACTATCACTGACTTTAATAACATTTCCTTTAATCTTAATTCTATCTTCCTTCATACTGATTATTCTTTATTGCATTCAATCATAATTTTTGAGCGTTTTTGTTTTTGGCTTGTACATAAATAAATTATGGGGTAATAATTTATCCACAAGTAAATTTAAAATTTATTCTGATTAAGGCATGGTTAACTTAAATATATAGGATTATATTCTAGGAAGGGTTGATTTAATTAAGTTTGATCTAATTTAGTTGAGCAATCATGAAATGATAGCGTGATTGTTCTTGAAGTACTGCAGCATTTTATGTTTTGATTCTCCATCAAGTGTTGTTGATTTTTATATAGTAATGCCCATTGAAGTGTTGAAAAATTAGGTACGGTATTTCAGTGTCGTATCACTAGAGTAATTAATCATTGCAGGACCACCTTGACGTAGACAACTGTGTGGATGTAGCCAGCCTCGCCGAGACCTACAGCCTGACACAGTTGCGCGCCAAAGCTTACGCCGTGATGTGCTCGCAGCTGCGGCGCTTCAGTGGCACTGCTGAGTTTCAGCGTCTCAGTGACTCTCAGCTCGTCCAGCTGCTCTGCTCTGACCATCCTGTTGACTGCTCTGAAGGAGAGGTACCTAACTCGTGGGGTCACGGTAGGATGCTACATTCACCACAGAGCATAGAGGATACGGAATATCACTGGCCAAACCGATCAAACTTATGCGTGACGAGCCCTCAAAGTTTGTTTGAATCAGACGGCACAGTAATCACTGCATAGAAAGAATAGTTAGAAGAAAAATTATAATTGTTCATCTAAATTTGTTTATTTAAGTCTTATGTTCGATGGGCCCATTTGCCATTTCAGACACCGAATGATCTCTGGTCTTTCACATGCAACTTGAAGCCTTATGTTATAGTACACAAACCAGCACACTCAATTTCTATAGCAGAGGGATCCTTTTGTTGTTGTTGTGTTTTAATTTTATTTGTTGTAAGCTCACTGTGCATATATATAGAATACTTCACCATTACCTATATATATGAGACTATATTTAAATGAATTCCTAATGACAGGTGGCGACGGCGGTGTCTCGATGGCTGTCACACTGTCCATCACGGGACAGGCACGCTCGTCACCTTCTGTCCTACGTCAACTGGAAGGAGGTCCCCGAGCCCGTGTCCAGAAGCCTGGCTCTCCCCTGCCCTCTACCCCTCCCTCTCCTTTCCCACCAACCCGCCCCTCCTAAAGGTCAGATATCAGCCTCATTCTCACCGCAGTATTGATATTTCAGTATTTCACCGCTCCGTCTTCTGTGTGCTTGACTATTGCGGATATACTCGTAATAAAAATAATCCTTGTGTATACGTTATGAAATTAAATTGTGGTCTTTACTAATCTTTTGGATTTATTGTTAAAACTTTTATCCATTTTTAGATTTCTTACATTTTCCTAGTTTCTCTGATGTTTTTAGACGCCGATGTCTAAACTAAACTCTTAATGATTTAGACTCAATCTATGACCAGCATTTTGTGTGATCATGATTGCTATCAATTAACATTATTTGCCTCGAGCAATAAATTACTGTTACAAATTATATTAAAATTCGACGCCTTTTCTCTCTGCATAATATCTTCACTCAATTTAACATTGATACGTATTCCACTGATTTTTGTTTGTTTGGAATGAGTCAAACAATATTCCTTGCTTGCATTGGCAGATCGAAAATCAGTATTACTTTTGATTAAATAATTGATTACAGCATTCTCTAGGCTTTAAAGTACGGTAACGGCATTGGTGGAGTTCTTGGATAGTTCCGGATTTTGGCTGCGTTAAATTCTTATAGAGTACGGTAACAACTTATACCTCACTATGCCAATACATCGCAGATTTTGTCATCAAATGCAAAAAAGAATCAATTGTATTCATGCCATAATTGTTACAGGTCTCCTTAACACGCGCGGTCTGGAGCTGGCCATTCTCAAAGTTGGAGGTTTCAGCATCGCCGGCATTACAAATGAAATAACGTACAGGCTCTCAGACAGCGGCTCCTGGCGCCACCTCACCACCATACCGCACGTGGAGCAGTGCAACTTCGGCACCGCCGTGCTGGACAACGAACTCTATGTTGTGGGGGGCTGCTTTGACCAGTCCTTACAGGTTAGTCGACGGTACTAGCACTGTTGGCCAGTCGACAGTCCAGTTGCTGTCAGTCAGCAGTCCAGTTGCTGACTGTCAGTCAGCAGTCCAGTAGCTGCATGTCAGTCAGCAGTCCAGTTGCTGACTGTCAGTCAGCAGTCCAGTTGCTGCATGTCAGTCAGCAGTCCAGTTGCTGCAGGTCAGTCAGCAGTCCAGTTGCTGCAGGTCAGTCAGCAGTCCAGTTGCTGGTCAGTCGGCTGTCCAGTTGCTGGAAGCGAGTTAGATTACCATGGCTGCAAAAATACCGATAATCCAATTTTCTATTCTTTTTTATCTATCGACAAGTGGCCCAGTTCAGTTGACAGTGTTCAGCGTGTGGGACTTTTGCTAGGTATTAGTGTACAGTCGTAATATCTCTGTTGCAGCCGTGCATTTAAAACGCATTTAGCCAAATTTGTGCAAATTTTAGTTAAGTTGAAGAGATACATTCTTGGCGTAGCTTTGCAGATAATCGTTTATAGTAAACATAATTATAAAAGTTTTACTTATATCACGATAAATAATAGAAACATTATAACGTGCAGTCGTGTTCGTAAATAATCTTCAACATTAAAAAACTAGAGATAATATATACGTAAAAGTGAGAGTGGAACACCGTCACATGTATTGAAACCCTAGCTACTTCAGAGCACCTATCTCTTTATCTTTGAACACACAAGGTTCGGAATAGTGGATCAAGAAAAATAGTGTGGAACAAGAAATGAACCGGAGCTTTCTTACAGATGGAAGCAAGAAATATTGCAATACCTATAAACAAACAAGACTTTGACATATATTCAGCATACCTATATGATATAAATCATCCGGCGATGATTGAACGATATAAATCATACGGCTGAATCAATGTGAATACACTCTCAGCTCACTGGGACTCGCCTCAACTAACAACTAAGGTTACTGTAAAATTTAGGCCGTGACTGGTTCCAAACCTGGTCAGAAGGCGGCCACTCCCGCCACGGGAATATGGCAATCTTAATCCTGTGGCTACGCTGGAGTTCGTTGCAACGTAACCTTACATTAGCTTGTTCTTTACGCTAGTTGATGTTTGTTGTTACAGGAAAACATTCACCCGTTCGGGTTCCGGTACAGCGCGCAGAGCGACAAGTGGAGCACCATAGCGCCCATGCTGCGCGAGCGCTGCCGTTTCTCTCTCACGGCGCTCGACGAGAAGCTCTACGCTGTAGGGGGAGAGTCTGAGGACACCCAAGCCACCACGGGCACGGAGTGTGAAGTGTACCATCCTGAGGAGGATGTCTGGCACCAGCTGCCCCAGCTAGGGTGTAGCAGAGCACAGCACGCAGCTGCAGCCCTCAACAGGTGTCTTTATGTCACTGGGGGGCTGGACCTCACTCAGGACTCTGTGCTGAGCTCCTGCTGGGCTTACAGCACCGTCCATCAGGTGCGTGGTGGCTCTGCACACACTATGGTCTTGCTGTGCATTTTTAGCGCATTTTCTCATTTATGAAAAAAATGCACTATTGTGCTCGCCATGTCCGTCTGTCCGGCCGTGACTTCATGTTTTCATCGACGAGAAAATGCGCTTTGTCACTCACTGCAGTGAGTACAGAGTTATATTTTTAAATATTACTGTCATGGTCCCATGAAAAAATTTGGTAGCTCTACTCTTGCTTGTGTATTTTTTAATAATCGATGTATAGATACCGTAGATTAAGTAGTTTCATAGATTATATATATATGATCTAGTATTGCTTGGATGTTTTCAATATTACCGTTTTGATCCAAAAAATTTTGCGGGTTCTTACCACAAATCTAGACCACATTATCTGCAGAATCAGAATCATTGTCTCTGATATTTAATTTTAACTTTTATTGTGACGTAGCTCCATTCAATTTTCATACTTCCTAGTCTTATCATCTTATGAGAATTGCGGTAGTAATTCAATGTCAACAGTTATGGTTTATAATAAAGGAATGATTGTATGCAAGTTCATAATGAAGGAATGATTGCATGCAAGTTTCATAATGACGGAATGTTTGTTCGTAGGGACTTAATATAGTAATGATTGCGAGCAGGTTTGGACCCGTCTGGCAGACATGCCAACCCCGCGCGCGGACCACGCAGCGTTCGTGTACGACAACAGCGTGTGGGTGTGCGGTGGCTGGCACGAGGACAGCTCAGTTGGCCACCACGGCCGCCAGCTAGTGGCCACCGTTGACCGTTACGACGTGGCCACGGACACGTGGCATACGGTCACTACTGTGCCCACGCCCCGTTACCATGCCGGCGTGACCGTTATAGGATCACGGCTGCATGTCATGGGAGGGTTCTTATCCGACGTGACGTTCGACCGTGCAACGGGCGTCATCGAGACGTACGACTTGGATACGGGCACGTGGCTTGTACAGACGCCGTACCCACGTGACATCTGGGAGCACGCGTGCGTGTCTATGCACGTGCCTCGCTGCCGTGACAATATGGCGGTCATGCTGCACGTGAGATAACACGTGTCGTCACGTGGCCGTCGTGCTGCACGTGAGATAACACGTGTCGTGACGTGGCCGTCGTGTTGCACGTGAGATAACACGTGTCGTGACGTGGCAGTCATGTTGCACGTGAGATAACACGTGTCGTGACGTGGCAGTCATGTTGCACGTGAAATAACACGTGTCGTGACGTGGCTGTCATACTGCACGTGAGATAACACGTGTCATGACGTGGCTGTCATACTGCACGTGAGATAACACGTGTCATGACGTGGCTGTCATGCTGCACGTGAGATAACACGTGTCGTGACGTGGCAGTCATGCTGCACGTGAGATAACACGTGTCGTGACGTGGCTCAAGGAAGTCGACATCGAATAGTTGAATTAAAGAATAAATGAACTCAAGACCTCCCGTCAATACTCACTATGGTATTATCTGCATTATATATTTGTTTAGCGTTAAGAACTGTTATTTATTTATAGATGATAGTTATGGGTCAGTGTTGCCTCGTAGCGTAAGCACTGTAAAGCGAAGGTGTATTCTGGTGATTTGTACTGAATTTGGTTATTATTTTCGAGTTTTTCTCTAGTTCTTTTGTTTTAATTTGGCTTATATGACGCATCGTGGTCGGCAAACGTTTCTTTGAGCTTTTAAAATTTATCGCAATCAATTTAAATATTGGCATAATCAAGCGTCTATTAATTCAGTTTAGCCTACAATTTAATTTGAATCAAACGGCCAAGTTTAAGTTGCAATTTTGAAGTTATAAATAAGAGAGCAATTCTAGGATTCGTAATGACTTAATGGAATAATTGCCATAATTACCAATTTCCTACACTTCCAATAATAGTCTATGTTTCAAGAACTGTGCGCAAACATCTCGTGATGAACATCTTGACTTAATACCTGTCAAGCGGACGTCGTATACTCAGTCATAATGAACTACATAACTGTCTTACTCCTACTCCTTGTTAATATTGGACTTTCTCAAATTACTCGTACTTCTTCTTCATAATGCAGTAGGTATTTACGTCAGTTAATCCTGCAACGTTATTGTGAATATGTACTTGTCTGAGTTACACGAGCCACTTCGTCATAATACAATTCTTACCTGAATTCCCCGCTCCTAAGAGTGGCGCCATTAACGCGAGCGGTGCCCAGCGAGGGGAACGTCCAGTCATTAACCTGCTCGTTCACGTTCGTGGTCGAAATGTGTTGATGTTAAATCGCATTTTTGTGTTTTTTTTTGCGTTTTGTTTTGCTCTGTGATTAAATGTGATGTCAACTAGAACAAATAACTTAATAAAGCTGTTAGGCAAGAGACCCTGTTCTAAAGTTGCATATTTTCAAATGCCAAATAAACGTGACTACATCGCAACTAAACGAAGGTAATTGTATGTCGCAGCAGCCTAAGGATTTGTTGGTAGTCTTGTTGTTGCTCGTTATTTTCTAGCTATAAGAGCTCATCACTGCTCGTCTGTCTCGCAGACATTGACCAAATAAATGATAAGATTATCACTATATTTTATTCCCTTTCCAGTTTTTGTATTAAAATAGATCGTGAAGTTGAATAATCTGATTTTTTCACATTAAAACATGGAAAATATGATATAATTTATTCAGACCTCGATTGCTGCGCTATGCAATCAAGCTGACGAATATAATTATTCTGTACATTTGAATACCTCAGTCGGTGACGCGTCTACAAGCCTTCCTGCACCTGCGCAGGACACAAGGACAGGCTATTAGGGGCAATAAGGATAGGCTATTAGAGGCAAATAAGGACAGGCTATTAGAGGCAAATAAGGATCGGCTATTAGAGGCAATAAGGACAGGCTATTAGAGGCAAATAAGGACAGGCTATTAGAGGCAAATAAGGACAGGCTATTAGAGGCAAATAAGGACAGGCTATTAGAGGCAAATNCAAGCCGCGTACCGTCCCGAGCGTGGTCCCGCCTTAGGGGCCTCGCCCCTCTTCAGGGCGCTCAGGATCTGCTTAGTGTCGGCGACCGTGAGATCCTCCTGGCGGTGGTAGCGAATCATTAATAAAATATATTATGATTGTATCCAGTCATTGAAATTAAAATTAGGCCAGGTATGTCTATTACCCCAGTGGCGAGGACCAATTGCCTGCCAATGCTGAGGAGGGCCGTACAGCGTGGTCAGGGACTGCTACGACCAAAAGGGATACTGAAGACTCACATAATAATCATCGTTGACTTGTATCATGGGCACGTTGACATCACCACTCACATAATAATCATCGTTGACTTGTATCAGACATCACCACTCACATAATAATCATCGTTGACTTGTATCAGACATCACCACTCACATAATAATCATCGTTGACTTGTATCAGACATCACTCACGTAATAATCATTGTTGACTAGTGTCAGACATCACCACTCACATAATAATCATCGTTGACTTGCATCAGACATCACCACTCATGTAATAATCATCGTTGACTTGTACCAGACATCACCACTCACGTAATAATCATCATTGACTTGTATCAGACATCACCACTCACATAATAATCATTGTTGACTTGTATCAGACAACACTCACGTAATAATCATTGTTGACTTGTGTCAGACATCACCACTCCCATAATAATCATTGTTGACTTGTATCAGACATCACTCACGTAATAATCCTTATACACATCTAGATGTGTATAAGAGACAGGGACAGGCTATTAGAGGCAAATAAGGACAGGCTATTAGAGGCAAATACGGACAGGCTGTTAGAGGCAAATAAGAATAGGCTATTAGAGGCAAATAAGGACAGGCTATTAGAGGCAAATACGGACAGGCTGTTAGAGGCAAATAAGAATAGGCTATTAGAGGCAAATAAGGACAGGCTATTAGAGGTTATTGAAGCTGATGAGCACAGGCTCTTGAGGCTGGCAAGGATGTTTAAGCGCTGTGGTTATTCCAGAGAGCTATGAGGAGTGCAGGCAGTTTTCATATTAGATAGTAGACGTAATTCATGTGTATTATAAAATGACGATAGAAAATAGACAGAAAAAGAACACCAGAATAGTAATGTAAAAAAAGGGGCCTATAAATAATTTTATCTTGAGGGCATAAAGATACAAATGAGCCTTCTCTCAGTAGAATGGAAATGAAATGATTTTCTAAAAATCAAGATTCTGCCAACATTATGATACATTTCAATTCAGATTATTCCTTACCCGTTTCATGACGTAGTTGGTACATTTGACCCTCTTATCTAAAAGCATAATAAAACGTCATTTGAAGTTCGTATCTCTGGTAAGATAGCGAGTATAAAAATAATCTGCCAAAAACAGTTATTTCCCTCTTTGCTTGCCTGTACAATTATTCCTTATGGGGAATAATACGTTGAAATCTACTGTCAGTAAAAGACTACTGAATTACTGATTAAATTTACCGACTAATTTAATTTGTAAAGATTACTGATTAAATTAAAGTACGACCCTAGAGGTACAGTGAAGCAAGTAAAGAGAAAAGAGAAAGACTGCTGTATTGCTGATCATATTACCGACTGATTTTATTTGAAAAATTACTGATTAAATTAAAGTACGACCCTAGAGGTACAGTGAAGCAAAGTAAAGAGTCGGTATAGAGCAACTAGAGCGTTTGCATTCTCACCTTGAAACCGGGGCCCGTGGGAGGGGTCGTAAGGGACGTGAGGCCACCTCTGGGCTCAGCCGCGTACCGTCCCGAGCGGGGTCCCGCCTTAGGGGCCTCGCCCCTCTTCAGGGCGCTCAGGATCTGCTTAGTGTCGGCGACCGTAAGATCCTCCTGGCGGTGGTAGCGAATCATTAATAAAATATATTATGACCGTATATAGTCATTGAAATTAAAATTAGGCAAGGTATGTCAATTACCCAAGTGGCAAGAACCAATTGCCTGTTGAAGCTGAGGGGAGCGGTACAGCGAGGTCAGAGACTGCTACGACCGCAACGGATATTGAAGACTCACATAATAATCATCGNCTGTCTCTTATACACATCTAGATGTGTATAAGAGACAGACCTCAGAGAGCGTGAAGGCGCCGTCGGCGGTGGTCTGGCCCACGTCGATCTTGAGCTCCTCCTTGACGGTGCGCATGATGTCGTCTGACCCACACAGCCAGCACGGCGTCGTGGTGCACACCTGCACGTGGTACTTGCCCACCGGGTTCCTGCAACACACACAGGGTAAGAAGGGGTGCACACAACACAGTAGTTCCTGCAACACGCGCAGGGTAAGAAGGGGTGCACACGACACAGTAGTTCCTGCAACACACACAGGGTAAGAAGGGGTGCACACAATACAGGCAGATGACACAGCAGTTCCTGCAACACACACAGGGTAAGAAGAGGTGCACACAACACAGTAGTTCCTGCAACACACACAGGGTAAGAAGGGATGCACACAATACAGGCAGATGACACAGCAGTTCCTGCAACACACACAGGGTGAGAAGAGGTGCACACAACACAGTAGTTCTTGCAACACACACAGGATAAGAAGGGATGCACACAATGCAGGCAGATGCCACAGTAGTTCCAGCAACACTCACAGGGTAAGAAGGGGGCGCACACAATACAGGCAGATGCCACAGTAGTTCCTGAAACACACACAGAGTAAGAAAAGATGCACACAATAAAGGCAGATGCCACAGTAGTTCCTGTAACACTCACACAAAGTACAACAGGGTCCCTTACCAACACGTCACATGTCACACAATTACTTCCCTCACAAGCATAAGGCAGAACACATTATTACCTACCTCACAAAC